TTAGTCGTAATTTTTACGCTAGTTTTTATAACAGTATAACTATTAAATGCATTATTTTATAATAAATTTTAATTAATTTTTCAGTTGAACATAAAATTAAATGCAAAATGGACGACATGTTTCTTCTTGGATTTCTTCGTGCCATGAAATTTAATGTTGAAGGTTCACTTCAATTACTTAGGAATTATTATTCTACAAAACTAGAATATCCGGCGTATTTTAAAAATTTACTTCCATCAAAGTTAGAAAAAGCTTTATCTACAAATTGTATGAGAGTTTTACCCCAGCCTGATCAAAGTGGGCGATATATTTTTATAGGACAATTGCGTAAGTTTACTGAAAAGTTTTAATTTATTTTTTAAATTGTAAATAATTTGTAGTGTTTATATAATACCTTATTCACTAATTTACATTAACATACGTTATTTCTTAACACTTGGAAATGAAAGTTGTAATTACAGTCTAATGTTATTGCAACCAGAAAAGTTATACATAGTTCGAAGATTTGAAAATTGGATTGAATTTGGGTTAATGGAATAAGACAGAACAGCACTTCGGAGATTTATCCAGAAAAATTGTCTTTTCAGGAAGAGAGAGCTACTTACCAATCTCTGAACAGAAAAAGTCACTGATAGTTGGTCTTATGACTCATTGACAAGCTGAACACATGTAGTTGTTTATGTTTTCTTTCAGTATCTAAAACCCAAACCAATGCCATTTTCCAGTTTTCCAGAAACGTTCTCCCGGAAAAAAACCTCCTCTTTTTGGCACTGCCCTCAAGTGCCTTATTCTATCAATCCAATCCAATTAAATCCTTCAGAAAATTTACTATTGCAAACTGATAACTATTTACGTGTAAGACACGTGCAGAAGCTCAGAAAAAGCTTGCTTGTGAAAAACATTTTCCTGGCCAACGTGTTTAGTGAGTTTATACAATTGGCCACCGGTTAGCTTCAAGGCTGGAAGACGAGGCGGTGAAGGCAGCAATAGAGATCTTTTGTCATAGAGATGCTAAGCTGAAAATCACATATGAAATTTATATGGCTGGGAAGACTCAAATACGTCAAACCCCTCTGTCACGGTCTGACCACTAAAAGAATTTGGACAACTTTATTATAAGTTTGATGAGTTTGTTAGTGTTTAAAGCAAGAACGTGTTAAAATTAATTCAAATTGCAAGTTTTACGTTTGAAAACAAAGAATGATGATTTTTCTAATGATTTTTAAGTTACATTTAAACGGGTGTGTCATTTTGACATTGCTGATACTGCTTCTAACATCAGCAAACTAATATGAGCATACCAAAGATGTGCCTCATCTCAAAATTATTTACCATAGAATTCAAAATTAAAGCATTTGAATTTGTATTTAATATTTTGTAGACGATGCCCATAGATTTGCTATAAAATAATCCAAAAAGGGCTCTTATTCAACCGATAAAATTGAGTAGATTATTGTAAATGAACAATACGAATTCAAACACTTGTATTAGAAACAAACGTCTACTCATCAAAATGGGGTCATTTTTATCTCATTGTCAATGTTTATTTTTAGAAAGATAACTTAATTTTTTCAGATTTTTGCTTTTGTTAAATGATATTAACCTATTTTAATTAAGAAATGCTTACGTTAAGAATAATTAATACTCTAGTCACATAATTCAATTTTCAATTTCGATGGCAGATATTTACAAAAATGAAATGTCAATGTCCCTAAACGGAAGGATTTCCACTTTAGTGCCTTCAACACAAATAGTCTTTACATTAAAATTGCAACCTCCGTTTAATCTCAACTTCACCTGCCTATAAAAATATAATGTTTGCATCTTCGCACTTGACCTGTTATTTTATGCTGAAATTCTCTGTTTTTAATATTCAAGAAACTGATAAAATCTTGACACTAATAAAGGCTTTTTAGTTAGAGCGATTGTGAGGTGATTCAATCGCCTTTATCACGATTTTACGCGCAGTAAAATGGCCTCCCGGTAAGATTCATAAGATTCATCTTCAAGTACTTTGGAGACATCGTACCGAGACAACTTATATTTTAGCGTGGCGATTTCATCGCACCCAATTAGCATGCAGAGATTATTATTTCAAATGCAGTTTAGATCATACTTTTACCCATCGTCCATAGCATTATATACTTCATGGTGTAAAAATTTCGATATTGATGTTTAAAAAAATAGTAGACGATTACAGATATCATTGTATTTTTTATGACAAAAAAATCTAAATTATGAAAACGAGAAGATAAAAATATGAATATAGAAACAAATTAATTTAAATAACGGCAGTTCAAGTAATATATTAATAATAAATGTTAGAAAAAATAAATACAAAGTTAAATTGAAAAATATAAGAGTTGAAAGATTGCTGCCATTTAAAATGTCGCAAAGTTTACCAAGATTATATGAGTCATCAGGTGACAGCGACACAATCGCCGTAAGTGGAATAACCTGCATTGTAAATTGTAACTGGCTGCGAGTAAAGCTGTCAAATCTCGTTGTCTTCTCAAAAATTTTATTTCTTTGTCGTTTCTACGTTAATTAATAGTTACTCAACCTGTCATATTTCGAGTCTAATAGACCGTAGATTCAATTTTATCATCCTAAAAACCTTGGTAGGATTTCACAATTTACAAAACGATTGAGTTCTAAGTAATTCATACCTATTAATTTCTTGTAATCCGAACAACATTTTACCATTAAAACTAATAATAAATGTCATATTTGAATTCTTCAAAAGTGAATTCAACTCTAGTAACATTCTATAGCGTGTCCCATTTCTTTTATCTATGCCAAGTAGGCTTCATGAGAGTAGTCATAAGACAGAGCGATTTTGTCCTCCACTTGGAAGGATCGGTTTTTCCAGAGATGGTCAGTTCACCGTTAGTCATAATTGATCAATTAATCAAGAGTTCCTACAGCGGGAGGATCTGAGTGAAAGCTACTGGCTCCGTATTGGACAATCGTATTGGATTTATGTAATTATTTACCTCTATCCATTGTTTAAATTTGTATTTCATATTGGAGAATCCCATAAAAAGAAAGACTACGAAGAGGAGAAGAAAGGAAAAAATATTGGAAGCTTCATCTGCTCTTCCAACTGAGAGAGAAGGATGGTTATTATACAGCTTGGATGCTCTCCGAGTCATCCCTGTAGTTATCATTTCAAACAGAAACATCTGACATGTAAAATAAATTCAGCTAAGTAAAAACTTATGACAATTTATATGAAAGTCAATTTACGATAGATGTTTGATGGCAGCGAAAATAATTCCCGAAAATCAGCAAGACCGATTCTTGTATAAAAACAATCACTCAGGGACTTTTTCACTTGGTGCTGTTATTCTCGATATAAACCCGTAAAATACTCGTGAATTAAGCACTGAAAATTATTGTTCTGATCGTGAAGTGTCTTTCGAACCAACTGTAATACACATATTCGTAGTGGAGAAGAGAAGAACCTGGGACTCGAACTTCTCATGAAACTATTTAAAATTTACTTTCTATACTAATAAATAGTTTTAATACATAACATTTAGCTTAAAGTTTAAACAGTTTAGTTTTGCAAAACTTATAGACAAATATCAAAAATTTTCTAAAGATAAATTATAAGTAATATTTGATTTTAAAAAATGTCGGGACAATTTGTATCTTTCATATGTTTGCTTTTGCCAATTAGGCACCGTTAGTCGTTGTCTCGGATTGGAGAGAACGAGGGTTTTAGGAAACATAAATCATCCACATCCTTCTAAATACAGATATTGGCTGCAATTTGAAAAGATTATAGAACTATAAATTTTCACTGTCGTCTGTCCGCCTGTCCGTCCATCGTTCCATAATCTGCATAAAGGGTTTAGTTACATGAAAGTGGAGAAAAGATTCGGAAAGATTAGTGGCAGGAGGCCCGATTAATGGCATGTACAATTTCGATTTAGAAAGGAAGTCACGTTGTTTGAATTCAAATTATTCCCTAAAAGAAGCTAGATAGAATTGCTGGCATGACTTTATTGCTAACAAGATATGTATGATATGTATGATGTACTGTACAGTACCGTACAGGAGCTCAACACTACTAAATTGAGATGGCGAGCATATAATTTTAATTAAATAAATTAAAATTATGATTAAAAATTTCAGCCCGGCATATGACAATGTCACAATAAATAATTGCTCGTTTTAATTGGCTTTTCTAGTGTGAAATGATTGCCTGTACGCAGACCGGCGGCAGTTTCCAACCCAAAATTGGCCAAATAGATGCATAAAAAAGGGTCTCAGTAGGAAAAGAGAATCATTTCATTGGTGTCACAGTGTGTAATATAAAACACCATGTTTACTGCTGGGATAAGACCACGCGGAAAAGAATGCAATAAAAACAATTGATGCAATATTTACTAGCTTTATGTAACGCACATCGATGCGAATTGCAGTAAAACGAATTAAAAATAAAAATATTAACAATTATTATGTTTTATCTATACTTTTTATTTCCGGATAAAAACTACTGAACGACGCCTGTTGCTCCTGACCAGCAAGCTAGTCGCATAAAGATTTCCCTATTTCTTTTACATATCTAATAACTAAATGATGGCTTGAATTCCCACAGAAAATTCCCCTGGATGCCACCACCTCAGTGGTAGATCACACTTGAGCTACATTGAGAGTTTTCAATATAAAAAGTTGTTTAAAAGACTACAGGCAAACAACTTTTATACTGAAAACTCTCGATATTAAAAATAATAGACGAAAAGATTATACACGTTTCATGAGTCTATTTTCCAAACGATTATTTAAGAAAAAAAAAAAAAACATTAACATGTGAATATTATTCTTTGCGAAATTATTCTTTGTTTAGTTTCGGAGTAGCGAGAGTGCGCTGTATTTATATGTAAATAAGAGTATTTTAATGTATTCTTGATATTTTTTTAACATACAGGACGTTGGGATCCTTCAGAAGTACCTTTGATAGATTTATACCGAGTTGCATTCCTCTTCGCAGATTTATTATTCACGTTACATCAATGCCAAGAGAATGGAATAGTTATAATTCTAGATTCTAAAGGGACGACTTTTAAGCAATTGATGGAATACACACCAAGATTTATACACAACTTAGTAAGCTTATTGAGCGTAAGTAGTAAACTGTTCACTTAATATTTAATTTCTTTAAATTTAAATTAAAAATTATTATTTAAAGAAAATAAAATGTCACGGCAGTGACTCCCCACCAAGTAAAAATGTAACTGACTGAATAAATATTTTAATAATACATTATATTGAGGGGAAACGTTTGCGAAGTTTTTTCTATTTGGCTTTAATAATTGTCTTCGCTCTCAAAATTTGATCGATAGATTTTGATTAAACTGTACCATTTTTCAGTAATTGCGATAAGAATTCGAAAAATACAATAAAAAACTCTAGCAACAAGTTGCCTAAATTTCCTGGCTGTTATGATATTTTACTTTTTAAAAGAAAACAGTTATATTATGAGTGTGCAGTACCTTGGTATTCGGATAGTTTAATGTTAACTTGCACATAATTAAATATTTTATAAATTATTAAGCAGGCACATTTATAAAAACAAAAATTAAGGATTAAATTTATAGCCAGTATTCTGAAAGTGTAACAATAAATAATTCCTCGTTGTTTGTAACATTCCATGACTTAAGATTGATTGTTAAAAGCAGTTGTAAACGTTTGTTCTTTTAGTAAATTTGTTTATTTTAAATGGAATGTGGGAGATAGCTGATGCTTTCATTATAAATATTTTATTCAAAATTTAAAGTTGTGAGTGATGTTCCCTCCTTAAACACCGTCTCTTCGAGTTGATTTGTCGGATTAAACACGACTCGAAAATGTTCTGATGTAGGTTCAGTAGAAGCTCGCCTTCATACTCAAGATAGTCAGTGTGTACAATTTATATACAAAATACATATAGACTATACAAGTTGGAAAACACAGGACACACAAATAGAGGTGCTTCACGTTCCAGTTTGGCCTTTGAGAAATTATATCCGTGGCAATCTCGGTCAGTTATTGGATTGGCTCTACCCTCATGGTTCGTTCGGTCTCAGCACTTACCCATCCTTGAGTTATTTGGCAGAGGATTATGCTCTCTCGCTTTCTATCTAACCTCAGCGGGCTTTTCAAGTGTCTGAGACTTCTTTGCTACTAGCCCAACCCATTTCTCCACTTCTTTCTCTCTCACTCTCCAATTTAAGGACTTTTTTGGACATGAACTTTTGACCAATTGCAGATCTTCCTACAAACAGATTTCACCCAGGTTCGCTTGGAAAGGATGATTGTGAAGCTTACTTTCGTGTCTGCCCATCTCCGATGTGGGTGGTCACCCACTTGTTTACTGCCAAGTGTTTATCACAGGCAAGTGGTCTACCCTTAAATCCAATTAGCGAGGTCGTCGCTTCCTTTGTTCCCTTTCCGTTTACAAGCGAATACTTTACACTGTGTTTTCATTTTTATTATTGGAATTTGAATAGTTTTAAAAATATTAATTACACGTAACATTAAAATTAAATGTAAACTTTTTAAAACTTTTCTTTTTCTCCCAATTCTACCAAACTTACGCAAAACATTTGATTTATACGTTTAATTTAAAATTTAAAAAACTGAAAAAATTAGTTAACTATATTCAATTGTTCCTTGTTTATATTAGACTGATTGGGTTCAACTAAGTATGAAAGAAATGCATTATGTCAATCTGAACGTCATTGTCAGCGGATTATTGAAATTTTCTTTCCCACTTATACCAGCAAAACTACGCAATAAAGTAAGTAATTTTTCTTATAATTAATAAAGCAGAGCAAATTTTATATAAAAAGAAAAGCATATTTTTAAATTAATGATTTATTATCTATTATTTTATGATTAATTTATAACACAATATGCCATGTTTTGCAACGTACATTTCTTCTTAAAAGGTTTCTTTATTGAAAAATTACGGAAGAATGTTTATAAAATATTAATTTAAATATATCGCTGCACTTATTGTTTGATATTCTGAATGCTTTGTTTATACAAGTAGCAGTTTATTCGAAACGGTGACATTTCTCTCAGGAGTAGGAATATCTTTTTTTCCTTGGATACTGTAAACTCAAGAGTCAAACGTTTATGAAGATGTTGCTGAAAACTGTTCATTAAGATATTTCAAACGTATTATATTTAATTACTGAAATAGTATCCGAATAAATGTCTGAAATCCCACTTTTCCAATAAATAAATAAAGGCCTGTGTATTGTACAGAAGAAAACATTCTGGTAACAAGAATACACAAGTGATATCAGTCAGTGAATTTTTTAAAAATATATTGTTACCAGCGAAGATAAATAAACAAATTAATTTATTTTAAAGTATTTATAGGATGTTTAATAATACTAAATAATTATTTTTAATTAGCATCGTGGCTCCTACCATACGATAGAACTACCTCATACTTTTGTTGAGAGAAGTAGTGGCTTATGTAAATCTGAAAGCAGCTTGGGAAATTATTTTTAGAAAATTTACAAGCGTATTATGCTGATGATGGTAGAAGATGCTGTGAAAGAACAAACCTACTCCTACAGAATTATGATAAGCTATTATGAACAGAAATATATGTAAATTCTATAGGCACTTCACATCACTTGCAAAAAATTGAATAATTAAATAATTTCTGGATTAAAATTGTCTGTTTTTTTACAATATTATTC